GACATGAAATGTTATAATTATATGAATATCAGACATTCATAACACTCTACCATGTACTTTCATGAGTTCTCAACTATATCTAATATATTTTATCCCCTCTGCAATGGACTGCCCATTGAGAGAGCACATAGACTAGACTTAATAAGCTATTTAGTGGATTTCAGAGGTTCTACGGCTCGTTTGATCGATATTGGTGACAAACTTAGTTAATTCCAGTTCTCAGTGAGATAACCAGTTATATAGATATATGTATATATATGGAAATGGGTAGGTCGGGGTCCAACCTCGCCTTGTGGTTCTTCTCCACGCTCACCCGGGGTTAGTAATGAAAATACCTTGTTTAGGATAGGTTTAGCAGTGTATGATCTGTCCGCTGTTACGGCCGGGTTACATAAAACCGGAGAGCGGCTGGCAAATAAACTCCCGCGTCCCTTCTGGTCCGTGTACAGAGAAAGAGTCTCCTTGTTATTCCTCCAGTATTTCTTGAGGGGAACGTACAAGCCTGAAGTTCACATTGAAAAAAAATGATCAGATATGGGGAAAATACATAGATTACCACATCTGCATCACTGGCGGGTAGGGTAGAGTGAGGGATATTCACGGTCAATGTTTACACTTTAAAATTTGAATCACTACATGACTGGGGCCCATCCCACCGGGTTAAAGGAAATCAATTTCATGTTCACTAACTTGACAAGAATGATTAGGTATATTTGATGACAATAATCACCATATCGTGCATAATGCAGTTCAATTAGTGCTAGGAGAATAAATATGAGGTCAGATGATAGCTTACCGTTCGAAATATGAAACTATCCGTAAGTATTTTGTTTCCTATCACAAGTTACTGCCTTATTGCAACGCCTTGCGAAGGTTCGTGTTCGTCCACCTACGATACAGAATTTCAACAGAAAGGTTATCTTTCATAGCCACAACTTGCAAAATAAGTAGGAAAAAGAGTTACTCCAATATACCTGCGAAACTCAGTTCGGTTAGCGACTCCGCGCTATTTCCGCCAATATCCTTCAGGATATAAACTTTTCGGATCTATTTCACGACTCCGACGACTATAATATGCCTTTTAATATACTTTGGGCAGAAGAAACGATGAAAAGATAACTGTACCACAAACAGATTGTGAAATTTTAAATGTTGTTTTGACAATTGCTCATAGATGATAGACGGGTCGTCTACTCCCAAATATGTGTCTATGATTTGTCTCTCTCTCCAACTGAAGGCAAAGGCCACAGTCAAACAGACAGCCGCCGCATTCGAGACGAACCGAAGAATAAACTCAAAACTATATACCTACGCTCGCCGTAAGCTGAGGAAAAGGGAATACCTACCCAATTCAGCGAGGAAATTCAATTTCGAGTAAAATTCAAAATCGATTAAAAACAGCGCCCGATAAGGAGGACTCAAATCGATATGGAAAAAACTATTCAAAATTCAACAACTGTCAAACTCCATCCATTCATCCACGCGCCCCCACAGAGATTCACTGCCTGATTACTTTTTTTTTTTTTTTATATAAGTCTCAGGGCGAATATTTTAGTCGAATAGAAAAATCGACTATTCCCTCAATGCTACCAACCCAATCAATGAAGTTTGACAGCTACGCCGTCGTAAGCGGTTCGCTATCATAGACAAAACAGCTGTCCTACGTGTGTCAGTGTCACGCCCTGTTTAAAAACAAACACTACAGTTTTATATATATATATATTATAATCATGTACGAGCTATATTATTGTAAAGTTTTATTAAAATCCATTATCATCAGTCATATAAAATGAAAAATGGTGTTAGAAACCTAAACATGTTTTTTGATTATATAGACAATGATACCCAACTCAACATATTTCATCAACTATTTTTTTTTAGTTCATCACAATATGGCACCTAATTGTCCCAAAAATAAATTTTGAGTACTATCATGTCTTTAGTAGCACTCCCATGATTAAGACGAATCGATTGACGTATGAATCATCAAAATCGGTCCCCGCGTTTGGTTTCTAGTGTGCCATAAAGGAACATACATACGTATATAGACTGTTAATAAACACCATACTCTGACAGCGCGTAGCGCTTCGCGCTCTTGCATTGCGCAGTCGGGTAAAAATTGCACGCATTTTCACCCACGGGTGGTGAAAAATAGAACTACATCTTTCGACTTTTATTGTTTTTAAAACGATATTATATAATAGATCAAAAAAGCATCCATGTAGATCTGATCAAAATAAAAAAGAAAACGTGAAGGATACGCACGAGGCCATGTATGGGAGCATGCGGAAAAACTTTTAACGCACGCTCCAGTTGTATCGACCGTAATTTTGAACTTTCGAACAATGTATACAACCTTCGTAAATGCTTTTTTTTTGAGAAAATGTGTTGAAAATATATGAAACGAGCTCTGAACACTTTTTTTTGTTTATTGCTGGGTGCGCCATGACAGCGCTAACTAGCGTAACAATTACGGCAGAAATTGAATGTCAGATGGCTGGCTATCATTACGAAGATTATGTGAACAAACAAATAATTTAAATGAAATATCGTGATTTTATAAATTTCATTCGATCATGTAAATCTATTGTGTGAATAATAACGTTGAACTTTTGTATTTCTCGTCTAAAATGCCAATCAATAAATTTCTAGTAGTACACACGGACTTTCTCATTACTGACTTCACGAGAAGTAAATAAAGAAATAAACAAATTTAATCGAATAACACATTCCATATTTATTGCAAACGTATATCATTTATAATTGTAGTGTCATTAATAATGCGATCTTATTGTGTATTTTCAGTTAAACATTGCTAGATTAATTACAAAAACTGGATTCCAGCCTATCGCACGCGACATCGCTTTCTAACCACAAACGACAATAAAAGGAAAGTATTGACTTTACCTGTGAAAGATGTAAAAGCCTTGTAACGTGGTACTTCCTACAAAATACATAAAAATATATTATAAAAAGTTTCTCTAAAAGTTAAGATTACTTAGTTTACTTGTTCCTTTTGACAGCAATTATCCATTTCATTCATTGTTCTTGTTTCCATTTTGCATGTGGAAATCAATAGAATTTGTGATCACTGTATTTGCAGTTGTTTTTGCAGTTAACTAGGTACGGTAGCAGGTTTGGTGACGCATTTTTATTTATTTTTACATATAGTGCACGAATACATAAATTTTGCAAGTAAAAAGGTTAAAAGGGGAGTTCCTTTTTTGGACACGGTGCGCGCTGCGCTCAATTTGTGGTTCCACCTCCTCCTACTTGGCACCCAGCGAATAGTTATTAGCGGGTTCTTAACATGTTATTTTTTTTGCGAGTCACCTATATTTCGGCACTGCTGCAAGCGATGGTGCTTGTGACAGTGCTAAAACATCGGTAACTGAACCCAGTCAGTTATTTCGTGATCATGGCGCTTTCAAAGGTGCTTATGGGGATTGCATCAGTGCCGAAATATCTGGACCTCTTAGAAAACAAGGTACCTACATAATAGGAGTCCCCCTAATAACTAAAGTTATTGTCAGGGACCATGAAAGTTTAGGACAGCTTTTATGGTACCTAATTACAATCATACTGCTCAGTGTGAGTTTACCGAACATACGCACCATAAAAGTTTGTGTGATGAACACGCGCATTGCCTACCTATAATGGAAATTTATATCTATCATCCTAAGGCATCTATGCTTAGTTTACAGATTAATTGAAATCGTTGAAAATATCCTTTTCATCCCACCACCTCGGAAAGTGTAATTTTGCGCTTCGAAATCTGGCTGGAAAATTCTATTTTATTCGCTTGAGCGGCAAAGTAGATTTGAATTTAGAACATCACATATAATGATTACTCAATATAATTGTAAATTCAAAACGTCATTAAACCTATTTAATGTAACCTCTATGGTGCCAAATTTATGATTAGAACTTTTTAAATTGTGAAAAAATTTAAATTTGGAACCTTCTTGGTTTCTTTGTTTTATTTGCGTGCTTCGCGCCATTCTAGTTTTTCACGTTTTATTGCTTAAATATTTTGTCATTATAAATTGTTTTCTTTTTCATTTTGTCATTTCCTCGCTGAGGTGGGATGAAAAGTTACGTATTGCACTCGAGTGGAAAGATTTTTCACCTTGTGCTCGTTTGTTTCCCTCGCTGACGCTCAGGATTCTAATTTAGAATCACTCGCTGCGCTCGTGATTCAACTTTAGAATCCTTCGCTTGCTCGGTCATCCAAATCGAGCACGCGGTTAAAAAGGAACTTTCCACTCTTGTATAATAAATAACTATTTCCTATTTATTGTTACCATACTTCGCCTCCAACCTAATGAATGTCAAATGTTATGTTTCTTTGGATAAAATAATTCATTGCGTCATGTTACATTTATGAAATTATTGTATATTAATGTTAGAAGGAGTCATATTAATAATCTGTTAAAACTGCAAGTGATATTAAGTTAAGCATGCCATACAAGTTCAGTACGCATTTATTGCATAGTATTGTTAATCGTTATAACGGTAATCACATCACTGTACCATTTTCTCTAATTGTGTTAGTACCAAATTATTTTAGAAGTAAAGTTGAAAAATTAACAAATAAATTAGAGGTTAATGCCCTCATTTCCACTGTTAGGAGGACGAATTAAGGAATTTCTTTATCTTACAGCATATCTGAAGTTAATTAAATTTAAGTGCTTACAGCAAAAAATAAATTATAATTAGTTAAAACATTATTTGGTGGAATAACCGATTTACAAACATACAGTCTACGTAGCATGCTTCTTATTTTATTTTTTGTAATTCAAATTCTCTTTGAATATATTATTATTAATCAATAATATATTAAAGAGAGCGAGTGACTCAGTTTATTTAGACGTCGGCATATACTATTTCGCTTCATTCAGCCCAATTATTTTCGAATCTGCCCAATTTGCTGTTTTTACGGTGAAATGCGGGCAAAATGTTTATATATGTTTATAAAAGGTACCCAATTTAAAAATTACCTGGAATGGTACGGCGAATAATCCTATGACTATGTCGGCTAGTGCTAAATTAGCTATGTAGCAATTTGTGACGCTCTGCATTCGTCTCGATGTGGCCACTATCCACATGACGAGGAAGTTTCCAACGATAGCTAGCACTGATATCGACCCGTAAAGAAACGACAACAGCACTATCATACTCGTCGGCACATCGTATAATGTATCTGAAACAAAAAAAAAACGATTAAAAATAACAATACAAAAAACAATTTGACCATTACATTGCAATGTAGTTATAAAATACAATAAAAATATATTTGACTAGTGGCCACCCGTGACTTCATCGGCGTTAACTTTAGTTTTTTTTTGAGAATCCCTCAGGATTAAAAATTTTTTTCGGGATCAAAGTGTGCCAGATTTTATCCAAATCCATTCAGCAGATTTTGAAAAATTGAGTAACAAACGTACAAACTTTCACATTTATAATATTAGTAGTTAGTTTCTGATTGTAAATCAAGAAACGAGGTTGATACTATTACCAACCAGTTCCTAGAAAGTATTAAAACGTATGTTTTCTACGCTCAACCGACCAACAAGCGAATCCAAATCTCGCTCGTCTGTCTAACTAGTTTTGTGTTACATGGGACCGCTCATTTATCAATATATCGATTGGTGTATCTGCCCATTATGGGTATATTCTTCATTATCACTATAATAATGTTCCCTGCTATTGGCACAAAAATTTGTGCTAAAGATTGATTTAATATAAATATTAAATTGACCGCGGTTTGAAGTAGAAATCTCAAAATAATACTATGTTTAAGAGGAGTACGTATGTAAAGAATTCATGTATTTGAGATTTAATTAAAGTATTGTATCCTAAATCTTCCACAGTTTCAAGAGTTTTTTTTTGTAGTTCTACTTTCTCTGACTCAAGTCAGAGACATTATAATATCTTTATATATTTTTTATATGTTGATACATTATTTGTCAATTCTTCTTTCGTATTACATATACTTCTATGTTTGCTGTATTCTTCTTTATATATTACCGTGTTTTAGCTTTTATTTCTCGGAATTGATTGCTGTACAGCAGTATGTTATGTATTTTAAAACTTTGTTTCTTCTTTATTTATTTTTTATAAGCTCAGGTATTTTATTGCTTTTTATACTCTGATTAATTTCATTTAAGTTCAGTTTCAAGAATTTTGTTGTAAACGCATATGTTGCGATTTTCAATTAAACTCTATAAATGTATTACTCTACTACTTGGCTATGTATTTTAAAATTTTATTTCTTGTGTTTTATTTTTATTTTTTATAAGCTCAGGTATTTTATTGTTTTTATACTCTGATTAATTTCATTTAAGTTCAGTTTCATGAGTTTTGTTGTAAACGCATATGTTGCGATTTTCAATTAAACTCTATAAATGGTTCGCTTCCCTTTTTTGTTAAGGACTAGTTTAGCAAATGTTATGTGTCTAAATTCGATAGATTAGAAGTAGAAGTTTCGTACAACACCAAAACGTTTATGAAACTATACAAATAAAATACACTTTTAATAGTTACTAAATGACCTTTATTCGATTGTTTTGTTTAGTACCTTCTTAAACTGTTAATCACATAGGCAGATGCTATTTTCTTTGAAGTCGACAAAACAAAAAAAAGTACACAGATCCGATATAAGTACATACTATCAAACGTCCCGGAACGCTGCAGGTGTTTTGAAACTTTGCTATTGATAGTCATAAATAAGCAAATATTGTATCCGGTTATCTTCTTCGTTGAACTTTTTGGAAGAAAATCTTGAATGAACATTATTTAATACAGTGTTTTCTTAGCATGTTTTCCTTATATTATTTTCGAAGAAAAACTTTTGTTCTCCTTTTTAACTAAGCACATTTTGCACACGGAAGAAGGTGAGACTTTGCTTAATAGAAGTTTATTTGGAGAAAATTACATTAGAGGGGAGGCGATATTGTATAAAAAATAATTTCGATTAAATAACATCGTCATCATCATCATCATAAACCCATGTTCGTCCACTGCTGGACAAAGTTCTCCCCTAATGCACGCCACTGCTCCCGATTTTGTGCTCAAATAACATATAAACTACAAATAACAATGATGAAAAAACACACTCAAATAAAGTAAATATTACACCGTGCGTTTTTTTCTGTTTCTTAATTAAGGACTTTAGTTCAAAGGGACACATCAGTCTTATTGAATCTTAATTTTAATAAACAAAATACAGTAAATTAGTACTCATACCATAATAAAAAAAGATACGATGCTATTTCATGTCTCACCATATAATCTTGGCAGAACTAGACAGGTTTTCCCAAAATAACTTGGAAGACCCCGATATCCAACTTATTAAACTTTTACAGGGACAAAAGCTTTTGTCGCTGTGGTTAGTTTTTGACACAATTTATCATGAAGTGATATAACATCATCAAATTTTCCACGTACTTAGAATCAACTTTTTTTATAATATCTTCAAACTTGCTTGACTGACACTATGTCTAGAGTTCCAGACGAGTGGGGCCCGTGTAATGTGTTTACAATTTTATATATTGTCTATTATATTAATTAGGTATTTGTATACTATGGGAAGAGGCTGACTTTGTGTAGTTTTATTTTGTAGTTGAAAAAAAATCTGTTAATAATAATATATTTTGTCAATGTTACCGTGCGTTTGAAACAATCACAGTTACTATATTTTTATTTTTTTAAGCATTAACTGCTAGAGGTTCAAATCTGAAGAATATTTTACTAGATTTTTTTTCTGCCTTTTTTGTGGTAGCATAATTAGTCAGTGCATAGCGAAGGGTGCGGGTTTAAGTCCCGTCTGTTGGTCCGCGTGGATTTTTTTCTAGTAGAATTTCAATCGCAGTTGCTCTTTGACAAAAAAACTAAAAAGGTCCGATTTTAGCCAATTGGCTACCTCTAGTTTTTATTATTGTTAGCCAAGGAAGCATAATTAAGGAGGAAGTTAAATTTGACTCACTTCCCGAGGTTTCCGATTGTGCCCAAATTTCGAATTACTAATGTAAATCTGATGGTAATGAAATATTCATATTTGGCTTTATCATCGGATCAGTACCTACATCAATTTAAGAAATTTTTGTTGAAAACATTTCTTTTTCAAACAAGCTTTTATAATTTTTTTTTGAAGTAGGTAATAAAAAATATTTTTTTTCCATCAATGTTTTTCAATCGACATGACATCATTCAATTCATTATTTCTCTTTTTTTTTAACATAACAAAGAATAAAGCTAGTTTTAAAAAATATTTTAGATTTCAATTTTTCTAATGTCTGTGAGGAGCCACGTGTTGCTTTAGGTGTCTTGTGTGATTTGTCCAAGGCTTTTGTTCGTGTTTTTTTAGAAAACTACGGCGCTGTGGATTTTAAGGTGGACACTGGAGCTCATTGTATCATATTTTAGCGATAAAATACAGTGAGTGAAATCAACGGTAAAAGATCACCCAGATTTTTAAGTAAAGATGTTCCTCAGGGCTCGATTCTTGGTCTTTTCTTGTTTTTAAATGGCTTTACTTATTTTGTAAGGGATAATCACGAGATAGTATTGCTTGCAAATTATACTTCACTTTTATTAAAAATTAAACGAAAACAACTAATTATTGACGATGTGAACAAAGCCGTCTTTAAAGCATTCATATCCACTGGCTTAATGTTAATAATTTACTTCCTAATGAAGGTAAAACAAAATGTGTAAACATTTTGTTAGTCAATATAAAGCAGACACAAACCAGTGTAACTATTAAAGATAAGAATATGGACATTGTGGAAACTACAGTACTATAAGGCATTACACAAGGTTCGAAGCTTCAGTGGGGCTCACATAATGAGAAATTGTCGAAGAGGCTTAGCTCTGCAGTCTACGCTGTAATGAAGATAAAAAATTTCCAATTAACTGACGTAGAAACTGCTTGCTTAGTAAATTTTAGTTATTTTTATCGTCGTATTATCTGTGAAATGCGGCCGACATTCAAATTATTTTTGTGCTGTAAAAGCGGGCTGTAGACAAAATACTATTTAAGATATTTTTTTAAGAAATCGATATAATGAGCGGAATCATATTCCGTCTCAGTACATTCATGAAAATTTATTGTTTGTTCGTATCAGCCGCCCGCGACTTCGTCCACGTTAACTTTTGTTTTTTTAATCACTCAGAAACCTAAATGTAATGAACCACTGAAAAATAAGTGCCATTACAAAATCGACTAACGCCTTACACCACGCTCAAAAATTAAAATGGAAATGGGCCGGCCACATTGCTAGACTTCAAGACGAAAGGTGAACCTCAAAAATAACAGAATGGAAGGGACCGTACGGTAAACGTAGAAGAGCCAGACCCGTGGCACGATGGGAAGACTAGCCGGGCCCAAGTGGATGGAACTGGCAAAAAACCGTGACAAATGGCATTCTTTGGAGGAGGCCTTTACCTGTGGAGGGGTTCTTGCAAATTAAATTCCAATAAGTAAATGTAAAATAATGTCAATAATTTATAATTTTGCATGATTTTAATTAACTTGTATTATTAATGTAAATGGATATGTAAATTTAATATTTTTTAACAACCAATTAAAAATTATCTCAAATTCATTTTTATATCAAGTGTAACTTACCACATCATGCATGTAAATTCTATTTAATTATAACTAGCACCTACATCATCACATTACATTATAATTAGCACAATTCAATGATATGCAAACAATTGTATTTTTTACCTTCTTTACAAGAAATAAAAGGCTTTTTATTTTTATTTTATTTTATTTACGTATGTACACTTTCTGAAAATGTAATTGCACCTTTGTTTGTTTTCCATAAGATGAAATTTTGATATGCTTGACTGTAAGTATTTATCCGTGGATTTTTCGGGAAAGAGGCTTAGCGTAGCCTTTTTCGACTTCTGGCGGTGTCAAATTAATAAATTCGTTACTACTTGACAATATTTTCAAATAAAAACAATACAGCAAAAAGAAATAACTTTTTCACAGATTAGCGATGCGCGCGCATCAACGCTTTTTTAGGCAAACAGCCAGTGTTACTAATAAAGTAAATTAATATTTTTGTGAATTTGTTACCGAAACATGGTAGTAATTTGTTGTCAAAATGAATCAAATTAAATGTTATATATTATATTTTATTTCCCAAAGTTAATTTTACAAAGAAAATGTTGGCTACCTTTCTGACA